TCGATGGTCGAATTATCCCTAGGTCCATCATGTGGTCGAATTCGTTTTTGGCTAACTTAAGCTTCTCGGGAACGAGTCTTCGAGCTTTCGAAAATACAGGTGGTCCTGTAGTCGTGATGTGATGTGTAACATTGCTGGTTACACAAGGCAATTTCGATTGCGATTGGTATATCCCGGGGTATTTGTCGAGTACTGATTGGTACAAGGGGTCTATGGTGTGTTTAATCGTGACTGGGGATAACCTGCAACCAGAACAAGGAGTTACGCTAACAGATAACTTATTGTTTCCGTCTATTAACTTTCGTGAGCGTGTGTCGATGAGTAGGTTGTGGTATTGTAACAGGTCTATACCAATGATTGGCATAGAGACATCTGCAACAACGAAAATCCAGTGTATGGGTTTGCGTAAACCCACGTTAATGTAGACGTACCTTTTACCGTAAGTAGCGATCGGTTTTCCGTTTGCCGCCTGTAAGCTTAAAACAGACTCGCGAAGTCTGTCGTCGGGATTTGCTGGAAGAACGCTAACTTCTGCGCCAGTGTCGACGAGGTAGCGAACTTTCGTGGTCACATCCGTGACATATAAGAGGCGGCTGTGTTCGCCGGCTACGGTTGCCGTTAACGCGTGCCGGCTGGGAAATTTCCCGAAATCTTATTCGTGTCAGTCGATTTTGAAGTCGGATAATTGCAAGGTTTCCTGCAATTTCTGGAAAACTTATCGTACTGGTTATGATACCAGCACCAGTCGGGATTGTCTGTCTCTCGTGGTCGAGAGCCAGATCGCTTACGTGAAACGCTTCTACGCGGGGTTTTTGACCGACTACGGTCATTGCGAACTCTAAGATATCGTGTAAGCGTGTGAAATAGTTCGGCCATGTCAGTCGAGGTCGATTGGGGTTTTTCTTTGACGGAAAAAACCTCGGCCTTAGAAGATCTAGTGATTTCCAAGATTCGATCGGCAGATGCAGCTAGTTCATCTATGGCATTGTTTTGAAATGAAACAAGCACTGCCTGCACCTGTTGAGGGAGTTTAGACAACAAAAGTTGTCTAAATAGGCCATCATCGAAAGTTCGTTGGCCGATGACTTCTCTCATTCTAAGCAACATGTCCGTCGCAGAACCATGTTGCAAGTCGATATTGTTAAGGAGTTGGTCTAACCGTTGTCGATCAGTTAGGTCTCCTCGTTTTAAAATCGATAGCTTAAGCATATCGTAAGGTTCGGGAACATCACTAGTAAACATACTAGGTGTTACGTACCTGTTAAACTCGCGCGGTAACGCCCAAACTACCGCGGGGAAACGTGTGCGCGAGTCCGTGATTACGTGCATGCTAAAATCGGCTTCTGCATAGCAGAACCAGGACTCGATATTGTCGGGCCAAAATGTCATTAACTGAATCGAAATAGGGGGAATAGACTTGAAATTAAGAACCTTAGGAGAGTGTTCCGTTATAGTAATATAGATAACGAAAAATGTCTAAGTAAAATATATCCGAGAAAAAAAATCTGCGAAAAAAAGTATATCACAATATATAAAATTCAAATAAAGAATAACAATGAATAATAATATTCCAAAATGGAACAGACTCACAGTATATTGACTTGGTGTACCAGATCACGTCGGTCTCACCAATGAAGGATGCAACGGATGTTCTAGTTTTACAACTAGCTACCAGTAGCACCTTCTATATTTGATCGTTCCCAGTCAGATAGAAATCAGAAGTCAGACGAGAAGAGGCAGGAAAGATATATTTGATTCGTTACCAATATATCGAGGACCTTTTCTATGAGCTGGCTAATGAGACGTAGGAGCTGTGTCCCACGCCGTGTTGAAACGTGATCTGGTGCGGATGCATGACCGAAAGCCTTCAGCTAAACAAGTCCACTTAAACAACATGGTCAGCATCCAATGTCGAACACTTAATGAACTATTGATTTTGGGGAATTATTTACAGCTACACACTTAAAGGGTTCGCAACAAAGTTAGCCAATTCCTTTAGTAACCTAGGATGTAGTTCATTGGGCCCAGTGGATTTACCTATATCAAGCTTAACTAGCAGACCAAAGACATCGAGTTCTTTAATGGTCACGCTGTCCAGTGCTTGTGTGGGGGGATTTTCATGGACTGGTGAGAAGGGTGCTTCTATAGTGTATACATTGCAAAAGTATTTGGAGAATACTTGAACTTTGCCAAAGTCGTCCTCCACTAGGGATGGGGTAGTACTGTCTCCCCATAGTGAAAGAACATTTCTTCTTTTTGCCCTTTGGTTTATACACGAATACAAGCGTTTAGGGCATTCTTTGGATTCCCCAACGATTTTCTCTTCGTACACCTTTCTGGCCTTACGGAGGGTCGAGGCACAGGTATTTCAAGCCTTTTGATACTGAGATTTTGCCTCGTCAGTCCCCAGTAACCTAAATCTATCCCACATTTTCCTTCTTTTACGGAGAAGGATGCGAACCTCCCTACTGAACCACGGTGGGGAGTTTCTCGGCCCCTTAGGTGTAGTCCAAGGGATGTGGGGGCGGTAACTTTTAAGTATAAATTCCGGAATACGTCCCAAGCCGTTTCGATTGATGACTCTGGGTCTATTTTCCAATCAACTGATGATACTGACTTCATGACGTCTGGTATGTTGGCTTTCCAGACGCTAGGTCTGGATTGAGGTGAGGCGTGCTCGTGATCGACATTTATATGGAAGTCAAAGCTTAAAACTGCATGATCACTTTTGCCTAGGGGTGGCATGTAATTCAGGTTTGCAACGTCATCCTCATAATGAGTCAATATAGGATCTAGTACGGATGATGCAGAACCCGGGTCGTACCTACTTGCTTTCTTCACGTGTTGCACTAGGTCACATGTGATTACCGCATCAACTAGTTCCTGTTCGAAGGAGTTTGCTGACGATTCAGTCTGCATATTTCCCCCCACCATGGGTGCATTAAAGTCCCCTAGGATTAGACATCGATCACTTCGTGATAAAGTGTTGAGACTGCTTAGCAGGACCTCGTTTACCTCACAGCTTGGACTGCGATAGATCAAACTAAGCAGCAACTCTTGTCCTCTGCATTTCAGGCGGCAGCTAACTAATTCATACGTCCCACTCTCGTGGGATACACTGTCGATAATGGTGAATGGAATAGCATTCCTAATTAATAGAGCTACTCCCCTTCCTTTACGCGTTTGTATTCTATCGGCCCTTACTAATTTAAAACCCTCGAAATCAAGTTCCCCACTATCTATAGACGGCGTCAGCCATGTTTTTGTGATTGCGATTATGTCTGGCCTAGTTGAGTCAATCTGTACACCTAGTTCCGGTAGCTTATTGAGTAAGCTCCGGGCATTGGTATAACAGATCCGAAGCTTATTTAAGTGGCCTCGTGCTTCACCCAGAGTGGCTTCGGCATCATCGAAAAAAATGCACAGAAACACTGAATATTAAAAGTTACTTTATGATGGTCTGTTTCGGGTGTCCGGGAGCATCCGAAACTCTGCTTTTTCATAGAAGGTGAATACTTTAGATGCTGGTGGTGTGATTGCTATCCCCACTATGGGACCATAACCATTTGGATAGCCTTATTCAGCGCAGTGAACCCTCAAACTACCGACCAGTGGCCCTTCTCTCCATACCTTCCAAAATTATGGAATCCCTAGTATTCGACGGTATACTAGAATACTTATCATCCTCAAAGTTCTCCTCGCCTCAACAGCATGGTTTCAGAAAATGTCATTCTTGTATGACCAACCTGCTGACTGCGGTGGATAGATGGACAACCACCCTTGATCGCAAGGGGAAGGTTGACGTCATCTACCTGGACTTCTCCAAAGCTTTTGATAGGGTCAACCACGCATGTCTTACCAAGAAGCTTGAACAATTGGGTATAAAACCCTATTTGATTGATTGGCTCTCTTCATACTTAGAAAACCGACACTTTAAGGTCAGGGTTAACTTCACTCTCTCTCAGGCTATGGAATGTCCTAGTGGGGTCCCCCAGGGCTCAATACTAGGACCTCTTCTCTTCTTGATTTATATTAACGATCTGCCTCAACAAGTTTCATCTAACTTATTGCTTTTTGCTGATGATATGAAACTTTTGAGAGAGATACGTAGTCATAATGATGTATTAGTTCTTCAGGAGGATCTGACCCGACTTCAATTTGGGCAGACGACAACGGACTTACCTTCAACACTTCAAAGTGCAAGGTAGTCCATCTGAGACATGTTGCAGACTGTAGTTATAACTTAGGTAAATTACCTCTAGAAGTTTCCCAAGTTGAAATAGATTTAGGAGTGTTGGTACCCTACGACTTGAAATCGTATGCGAACTGTGACAAAAACGCCTCTCAAGCAAACCTTGCACTGGTAACATTGAAGTGCATTTTTGGCCAGTTTGACGGTAGAACCTTCCATATAATCTTTAACAGTTTTATTCGTCCCCACTCAGAGTACGGAAACAAAGTATTTCCTCCCTCCCTCCAAAAGGATAAGGACACTCTGGAACGTATACAACGTCGAGCCACGAAATCAGTTCGGGGACTCAAATTCAAACCTTATGAAGAGCGCCTCCAATCACTTAACCTTTACCCGTTATAGTACAGGCGTCTTAGAGGTGACCTTCTTATGACTCGCAGTATCCTTAATACTTCTGGTCATAACCTTAAACATCTTCTTAAGCTTAGTCATAACACTAACCTGAGAGGTAACACCCAGAAATTGGAGACCCTACATAGCAGAACAGACACAACTTCTACTCCGTTAGAGTTGTCAAGTGCTGGAATTCGCTGCCGACTGAGCTAGTCCAAGCGACCTCCCAGGAGTCCTTTAAGAGGAAACTTGACTTATTCTTAAGGTCTAAGGATAACATCTTATTATGATTTACCAAATTCTTTTTTCCCTCTATTATCGTTCATATACCTAGGTTTTTGCCTGGAGGTATTGGTGATCCACTGCTACCAGACACGGAAGCCCGTTAAGCGAAAGCTTCTTCTATCCCGTCCTCAAATATTTGAACCATTTTGAGCGGACGTTTGAATGTTGAGTTACAATGAGCCAGCTGCTTCGTCTTGGCATTCTGAGGCACCTTACTGGAGCATCCTCTCGTAGAATATGTCACTCTACATTTCTGATAATTAATCATAAGGGGCATTATTCATCACGTCTGGTATATATTTCCTCATATTGTTTTATTATGTAGTTTAAACCAACATCTAAGTGGAATTGGGGATCTTCTACAAATGCTAGTAAGTAAAACGCCTGGTGCAATAATGTAAATCGACAGATTATTCTAGTGACCGTCGGAGTGGTGATCGTTCTCAAAACGACCCAGACAATATTGACATTTTTGCACTAGCTGCAGGTGGTGCTTCATTTGCCCTCCTGTTAATTGCATGGTGGTTAATTACTAATGTACCCCATATACCTCAAGTAACTTTCAAAATATTCGTATCCATGTTGGAAAAAGGTGAAGTTCAAAGGATACAAATAACGTCTTCTGGTGATGTGTTCATTCTCACTTATCAACATGGTCAACTGCCTGTAAGCTAATATTTTATTTGACATTCACGCCATAACCACCAAGAAAAGGTGAAGATTTTTTATTTTACAGCGTTTAGGATACTGATTAGCAGATATCCCGATGGTTCAGAAAAATTTACTACGCTTTTTGTACCAAGCTTGGAATAACCAATTCTAACAGGTCACGGGGTTTTTGTTTATCTTTGCCTTTTCTAGTTCAAGTGTAAAACTTAGGTTTAACAGTAATCTCGCACGAAGTAGTTGATTCAAGGTACTCCAACCGCGTCAGATGTGAGTAACTTCAGTCCCAAATCGTAGTTGGGTTCTGTAAGCAATACTGGATTTTAGGTTGAAGTGTTATATATTTATATGCCAGATGGCTGTAGACTTTTGAATTTTCCTTGAAGAAGAATTTTCTCCATTCCAAAACATACTTTAGTTAACGGCTTTCGTAGGTTATCTTTCACTTTTATCTTGTAATTATATACAGTCTTCTAAACCGCGAATGGTCTATATTAACAGAATCTATGCTTTTGATTTTTGTTAGCAGTAAGATTGACTGATTTATTCCTGTTATGAGTTTCTGTTCAAAGAGAGCTAGTGGAGTGGGACACAATTATTATTTGTTCAACTTGATTTGTGCTGATCTGATCCAGGTAGTCTTGTTACTCATTAGTATAGAGTCGGCAAAATGTTTGTTACTTAAAAACTTAGATATTTTTAAAACATTCCCTCCCCACTTTATCATACTCTCACTTTTTAATTATCATCCAAAACTTTCTGTAGTTGATTTTGAAGGACTCAATAACTGTAAATGAATTTCTGAAAAATCTACGATCCTTAGAGGATACGTGGGGCATTGAAGAACATGATCGTATCCCAGTCCAAATGTCTGATTTGTAAGTAAATTTCTGAGGATTTTAAAAGTATATGGTTTACCAACCAAGTGAATGCTTATATATAACTTTCTATCTATACTTGTTGTTTACGGACTTACTAAATTACTCAATCAAATATTCAGAATAAAACATAGACAATAATTTGAGGGAGCGAGTTAGTTGTAGGTATATGATACTCATCATTGTATAGAGGAAAGTATCCTTTGGTGCACAATGACCTTTAATAGTCAGTCAGTCACAACGTAGAACTTAGTACGTACGTACATTAGCTCAAGTTGCCTTACATTTCTTATGACACATCTTGTGATGTTACCGGGTATGTTCAATGTTAGGAAATAATACCCATAACGAATAAGCTTCACACTTTCATAGACAAGATAATTTCGTTAATCTGACAGATCCAGTCAACGCTTGTGAACATGGCCATGTAGTTGTTCGCTTCATCAGTTAACTTTATGTATGCTAAGAGTTACCTACCCAATTCCTATATAGACACTTGTTTTATTTTTGTACTAGTTCTGGTTGTTGTTTGAATGTAATATGCCCAGAACTGATACTGACTAGTATCGATTTCGTCATGTCGAGTTAAAGTGCAATGACTGACCAATAACCCGAAAGTGATGACGTAACTGTAGAAAATCGAAGTTAGTAGCGAGTGTTTTAAAACATTCCTAAAATTTAACGAGGTCACATTTTCACGTCATCACAATTCTGTATATGCTGAAAATACTATTTCACAAAATTTAAATCATATTACTGAGTGCCTAATTGTGACCACCAATTGGTCTTGAAATAATGTAAATAAAAATTCAAGTATTAATTGTATCGTTGGATTTTTTTCGTTGTACACTCACTGACCACTTTCATATAAATAACAAGCTTCCTGAAAACCCTTTTCTGCGTTTTCAAACTTATTTTTAGACCTTTGAATACGTTCGCGCAAAGATGGAATTCGAAATTGTGCGCTGGTCTTCTACTTATATCTTGTGGATTGTTTGCATTTTCAATGAGAAGAATGTTTTCTCAAAAAATCAACTTAGGGAAAGCAGCTAATAGCGGTATTTTGGGAAAGTCCACAGATATCCCAAGGTATCATGATAATTCTAAGCCACCGAAAACATCTGGCTCAAGTTTTGATTCTGAAAACAACCGATTTTCTTTTCGTCCACCCTTTCACTGGGATCCTGTTACTGGTATCAATACAATTAGACCTACAACATCCACTGTAAAATTTAAGGTATATTTTATTTTAAATAAGTTTCCACTTGTTTTTCGGCCATCACATGACCTACGTAACTGAAATAGTTCAGTTGCTTGTGTCATTTGTAATCAGATAGCTTTACTTTCCTAGTTTTACATTTTATTTTAACGCTTCACTTTATTAAGTATACGAAACCAGGTGATGGATAGCATAGTAAATGTCTATAATTGTTTTTAATTTGAATGCTAAGCATCGTCCGTTTAGTGTTTTTTTAAAAATTGGCTTTCTTGATGTTAAACATTTTGCTAAACACATTCAGGTCAAGTATGACATCTAATGACCCTTTATTGTGTTGTTGTAGTTCACTGTATGGACATTTGTCGATTAATTAAATCCCATTCACCCCAATTCTTCAGTTAGAGGGATCTAGTGGTTTAACAAGTTCCGTACAACTATGAATCGAGCATTCAATTTACCTCGTTTGTAGATGCTACAACATGAGGTTTAATTAAAATAAACAAATGCCCGAACAGTTTGCAGGACATGGAAATCAAGTGAATTCTTATGTCTAGTCTTTTGTAATCCATTTCTGTTTGCGTTTCCTCCCCGTAATAGTATGGTCAAATTCCACTTGTAGATATACACCTACTACGCTGACCTTTGAAATGCGACTTTCAGCACTCTGAATGGCGAGAAACTAGTTGGGAACTGGGGATGAGTAGTAGTACGGTTCGTTAGATGCGGAAGAACTAAAGGGAACTGTCACCTAGTCAGTGAGCAGCAACGTAGGACCAGGCACATATATGCATCTGTTCAAGTTGCCATACCTGATTAGCACAACAAAATGAACACCGAATTCATAGTAGTTAATTTGGTGGTGGTAATATATAAAGGAAAGATTGTGTATAAGGATATAGTACAGGAAGTGTTATGATTTTATGTCTGGCTTTTATCACTTGATTTATTCACTAATCGAAATACGACTTTCCCAATCTTAGTTCCGTGTTAAATCAATGACGTTTCTACCGGTATGAGCAGCCTAGCGTCCTTATTGGTCCTTTATCCGCCTAGCCCTTCCAATTGAGTTCAAAACACCAATTACAGCTTCTGGTATGCGAATCATTTATTTCAAGCATACCTGGTTTATATGCCAGACAGACCTCATCACACCATAAAATAGGAAATAATATTTGTACAAGATCAAGCCAACTGGGCTGTGAACGTGGGAGACGGTAATCAATAAACTGAATATAATTTAGGGACAGTAAATCGTATAATAATAATAATAATCCATAAGCCGAAATGAAGCTTATAATAAGATGAATATATATAGATTAAATCTAATCACTGAATAGTTGTACAATAAGAATATATATACAATAATAGTCCATTAGTAGATCCCGCCTGTAGCTCCTCTGGGGGTTACTGCCGGTCCCAGGCCCGGGTAAAATAGGAGGGTTGGGCATGGGGTTAGCGACCCCATCCCGTAGAAAATCAGCTCGCTAAAAAACACTAACCAGAAAAAATCATTCATTTGGAGAAAGCTGGTCGGCGGCCTATGCTCCATTGGGAGTAACAGGCGTAAGTAAGTAAGTAAGTAATAGATCCCGAAAGTTACTCGTACTTATGTCTTCACTAGTGAAAAACAGGAATAAAGAAAGATATAAAGCAACTTTAATCTCATAGTTTAAGGGAAAACAGAGAGTGTAAAGGGGAATTGTCATGCTGTTGAAAATTTTAGTGGCAACAATTAGGTAGTTTCAGGCAAAATAAGATATTAGTATGGAAACACATTGTTGTTATCCCTGTTTCAGTATTGCATCGATTTCTGATTACGAGGCAAAGGGTGCCAGTCTTTCTAGACAAATTACATATATAATATTTGGGAGGAGATTAGCTATTGAGGTAACACAGTTACCATGTGAGATTTTCCAGTGAACTGTACTTAATTACCCGATGCACTTCCAGCTACTTGATAGGTCATGTGAAAGCTCTTGTCCGAATTCGATACACAGGTATACAGAGGCAATAACGATACTCAACAATGTTTACATACAGATGAGTAGCAAGATGGTTGATACATTTGCGAGATTTTAAATAAACCACTAGCTTCGTAGCAAGAACATGGCTTTTTGACTTGTTTGACAAGTATTTTAATAATATCATCAATAGCCTCTATAAAATATAACCTAAATTTTTCTTTGGTGAGGATTTATGAACAGACAAGACTCAAGGTAATGCACAACATTAACAGCATACAGACTAGTCAAAAACTATATTTAGGAGTGGTAAGTCATTATTTAGAAGTTGTGAATCACAAGATAATCGAAATGCCATAATGTTGATCTAATTTTAAGTGGTATCTCATGGCCTTGGTAATGGCTATGCATTCCAGTATATTGAAAACCCCCATTTCAAAATTTAGTAAAAGGAACAAATAGAGCAAACAAAAATTCTTTCCAATTTATTTTCCAACATGGCCCTCTCTCTCTCTCTCTATATATATATATATATATATATATATATATATATATATATATATATAATTCACAACAATGAAATAATGCTCATCGAGTAGTAGTGTAAATTACTAATTATATAATGTCACAGTGGCTATAAAATAGCATTGAGTAGTTCAAATAAAGAGGATTATAATAATCAAAGTAATTATTCAGAGGATCAAATAGTTGCTATATTGCATTATATATAAAAAGGGAATAACAAAATATTTTGAATAAAGGTCAGTATTACAGTAGCTATGTAAGAATCAAAAGACGAATGTTGAGAATATATTGAATTACGAAGGTGAAAAAAGCTAGAAAATCGTTTATATATTTTTAAAAGAAAAGTTAAATCAATGTTCAGCTGAAACTCACTTCTGAATATTCTCTGGGTGGTGTTTAATGAATAGCCATAAGTCAAGATGTGTAAATGCAGTTTGTTTAGGTGATGAGTATATCCTTAAAAATTCTAACCTAAAGAAAAAGCGTTACTGGTAAAAAGCCAGTTTTCATCATTAAATAAATTTAGACTAATATTCCTGAAGAATATTTCATTGAATAATTTTTTTCCCACATTGAGGCTGTGGCTTAGTTGTATCGACAATTAATTCAGTTTTTGTTTTTACGGTTTTTTTGTACTCGGTATGGTTTATGCCGACAGATAGTGGTATTCTTTCTTGTTTGAAAAGTGAATTTCTTAAGCGGTTAAGTGAACGTATGATTGAGGATAGTGACAGTATTTATAATGCTACTTTAAACGCAATAGGTTGCGGGTTTGAATTTCACTACATGAACTGTTTTTAAGCTTCACGCTTTAGCAGTAACTCAGAGCTGAGTACATCAACTTGTTTTCAGTAATGGAGTTACATTTCGATATTTAATGACCATGAATGTAGCTAATTACTATCCGTCATTGTTGTTCTTCATAGTATAAAATATTCTAAGCAGTCTCAGTGAAGTATAAGTGAAGCTCAGAATCGATTTGTGTAATGTAAGTAAACGACTGTCATTTTGTATGCTTTTTGCCAAAATTTAAAAGTTAATTTTTTGGTAAGTTCCGATAATGCAATGAAAAAACCGAATTCATTGGAACATGACCAGAATGTTCGAAATATATTACAATAGTATACCATATCACATGAAATGAAATTTATCAGAACTATATCTATATTTTATCTGGATTTGTGTTTTGTTGAGTGTTAGTAGTACAGGATGTTCGAATACATACATTTTACACATTGTATACATTTTGCTTTTTTTGGTGACTCACATTAATACACGACTGTACCAACTCTTACTTTACATTTAAGGTTTATCAGCATGAAGATTTGTGGAGATTGTAGTATTTTTATAGTTAAATCCACATTCCAGCGCTTCGAGGTTTTCGGTGGTGATCTAGCTGTGATCAACTGTGAAAAGTTTTATGTTCGTTTTTCTCTACGTTTCCTGAACTCAGCTTGATTCTATGGGCTTTGCGCAATTGAGGTATCATTAAAATCCACGAATCACTTCATAACTGTTTCATCCTAGTGCGGGACACTTCGACGGTTCTTATTCACGATTTCACCAAGGGAACTGGAGATGTCTGTCACTAAACTCCAATGTAGAGGTTCTAATAATTAAGTGCTCGCCACAAGACCTGGAGGCTCTGGTTTCAATCCTTAGTAATCACGGATGAAGGGTCCCATACTAAAACGGAACAGCTGTCCAGTCTTCCCTAGTTTTCATTGCTAATCCAGCTGTGGTCAGTCTGTGGTGAGCACGCCTACACAATAAAATAATGTACGAAGAATTAGTTCAACGTAGCACAATAATTGTTTTTCAGGTTTTTGCATCCTTATTCCCTTAAACATATATTTAGTTCCTGATATTTTATTTCCATTTTCATAACTATTTTAGGACGTCGCTGGTCTTCATGCATGTAAACAAGAAGTTATGGAGTTTGTTTCTTATCTAAAAAATCCTCAAAAGTATCAAGCGTTAGGTGCTAAGTTACCAAAGGGGGCACTTCTACTTGGTCCACCGGGAACTGGAAAAACTTTGCTTGTATGTGTTATATTCCGTTTCTTTGAATTTGATAAAATGTTCTTACAACATGCTTCAGTTGTTCCATTAATTTTAAAATATATGTAAAATAATTTTTTAAAATTCCTGTATCAGGTGTATAAAGTAATATTGTTTTTTGGTGAATTTAATATTTCTGAGAATTTCATAACCATGTTATAGGATTTATTGCATTCATCATTTTTAAATGTAAGAACATAAAAATTTAGCACAGATCTTCCATTTTATCTATTTCTACTCACAAATTTTCGGTAGAGAACTTTCTTCTCTGTCAGCGGTATAATCCTCAGATTACTCTTAAATTAGTAATTATTTGAAGAATGTCTCTTTCTTGTTATCTGTGAATATTGTATGGTGTAAAGTACCAGTACGAATATGATCGATTCATCCAACCAATTTTTTCCTACCAATTGTCTTTTTGACCCCATGCATTATTACCTTATCCAAAGCTTGAGCAATATATTGTGAAAACATTAAAAATTTTATTGTTAATGATAATTAGCTATAAACTGAAATATTTTACCATTTAGGTTAAAGCATTGGCCAATGAAGCGGAAGTACCATTCTTTTCAATGGCCGGACCACAATTTGTAGAGGTTGTCGGTGGACTTGGTGCTCTTCGATTACGACAGCTTTTCAGTGCAGCTCGTTCTCATTCACCAGCTATAATATTCATCGATGAGCTTGATTCCGTTGGTCGACGTCGTAATTCTGAACCTAGGTAATCTATGATAGTAATAATTTCATATTGTTTGGGTACGTACTTGGTTTTCATGATGGTGTGTAAGAAAATTTCTTCATAAATTTATTTTACTTGCTCACTACTGGGACACTTGTTGGAATATCTATAATAATGAATGCACAAATAAATATTGTTATCAGTTTTAAGTACCTTTTTAAACTTTTCGTGGACAAACATTTGATAGACATTTTTATGTGTTGTAACCCATTTTCATATTCAATTTGAAATAGTCTGAGTTTGTAGGTACATCAAGCTTACAAGTCCCAAATAAAACAAAACGCCCGTCCCGGATTCCACTACCAGCTATATTTCATCTATTCTATATACCAGTATATGTGTAGTGAACAGATCACTGGTTGGGGACAATCGAATGTATTTAAGCAAAGATTACAGACTATCTCAGTAAATTCTGATAACCAAACAATAAACAGTCAATTTGCAAATTAACAATCAATTGTTTCAATCTTCACTGTTTCTTCTCTTATTCCATTGCTCATGCATTTTCCAAACGATTGCGCTTCATTTCAGTTCTTTGCTCATCGGTCTTCTGCCAAAATACATTCTATGTCTGACCACACCATATACTACTCACATGGATATAAGTAGACCACACCACATATGCTCATAATGACATTTTCAAGTCTTTAGGGTAATAATAATAAGATCGTCTGTGGATATTTTGAGGAAGTTGTGAACCAAATCTTAACTCCTGTCAAGCGCAGTTTATTTTTCACCTTTTTGTCATATGGTGGATATTATTTGGAAGTTCTACATTTAGCGATTGGATGATAGTGAGAAACAATCATGTATAGCAGCGAATGAAGTGGTATTCTCTCTCTCTAAACTTTGAATCGATCATAAAGTCGTTGAATTATAAATTAAGTCTATGACTTTTACGATAGCAAATTATTTGGAGGTATTTATCATGACAACTAGCATACGGTGAAGGATTTAAGGAACGTGGAAACCATTGTTTCCACCAGTTCATGAAATCACTGTCCTTTGGTCTGGGTTATACAGTTTATGTAAGGGTGTTGAGATAATGTAATCAAATGGTAAAAGAATCTACTCTACACAACTTATGTCCATTAAGAATACGATGCAAATCTATTTGATACTTTGTTTTTATTACTGAACATATTGTTCATCTTTCTTTATTTTCCATCCGTTATTCATACCCTAATTGTTTATGTTAATACACCTTTTCTCTCCATACAACCCATACAAATGATTCATCACTTTTATTTTTTAATGTGTGATCACCAACACTTAGTTCATGGGATTTTTATATTCTCACAGTTGAAATCATGAGTCAAATTGAAGCTAGACCACCATGGAAAACCTGGAAGCACTGGACGGCCGTTTCGTCCTACTATGGGACTCCTCAGCAGTGTGCATCTACTATCCCGCACTCGCGAGATTCGAACCCAGGACCTACCAGTTTCGAGCCGGAGCCCTTAACCGATAGACCACTGAGCCAGCATCCAACGGTGTTGATGTCTATAGTAGGACGAAACGGCCGTCCAGTGCTTCCAGGTTTTCCATGGTGGTCTAGCTTTAATTGACTCATGATTTCAACTGTGAAAATACTAAATTCTCCACAAAACCCCCTCTGATTTTCGTATTCTTCAAACTGCAAGCCTTCATTCGATTCACCAACTGTTTTCGTATCCTTTTCTGTTCTAAGACCACTGTAAATTAATTGTAAGCCCATTATTCCAACTTTATATCCTAAATTCCCTAGTTTAGAACAGATTGTAATTTTTGATTTATTATGCATAATAATCATGTGGCTCATGTATTTAATCATATGAATTTCTGTGTTGTAGGTACAAACATCAGTTCGGTTGTCCTGCTCTCTCTCACGTTCCTATTAAGTTTTGGGGACGAGAGAATCTGCATAACCAATTAGGATTTGGATGCTAAAGCCTTTGGTTGTGGTATTAATATTGCTGGTCCAAGCGTAGTAGATCCAGTTCACTATAGTAAATTTATTTTCATCGCTTGCATACTTTGTATAAACTTCGTTTGTATTTCTTGTAGAGACGGCGAGGGTGTATCTGAGTTGGATCAGACACTGAATCAACTACTTGTAGAAATGGATGGGATGGATACAACTGAAGGTGTTATTGTATTTGGAGCGACAAATCGAGCTGACTTGTTAGATCAAGCTCTGTTACGTGCAGGACGATTTGACAGACATATTTTTATAGATTTACCGAATCTAGCTGAACGTAAAGAAATATTCGCTGTATACATTGGTATGCAAGATATTTGTTTATTAAATATCGTTTTATTCATTTTTTAGATCAATAGCTATAAGTAGTTTTGTGGTACAACATGTACTTTATAACTTCCCATATTAAAGTGTGTGAATGAGTCTCAATAGATGATTTTAATTATGTTTTAGGTTATGTACTCCAGTTAGTTAGTTAGTAAACACATTTCTGCAATGCAAACGATCTGGAGATTATTTTATTAGGACAATGGGATCCGTGCTAACTGGATAGACCGGACAAGTAATATACAACAATTCAACAGTAATTTCCTGGGCTTTCGATGAGATAGCAGAGAGGCTTTGTTAGTAATATGTTTGCTGAAAACCCTAGGTGAATGAAAAATAAAATTTCAATTAAGATACTTATTTACACCTATTGCTCCTCGTGGAGAAACATAGGCTGCCCACTATCATTCTCCATCCAACTCTGTTCTGGGCAATCCTTTCCAGTTACTACTCATCCTTTTGATGTCTGCTTCCAATTCTCGGAGAAGTGTGTTCTTTGACCTTCCTCTCTTCCTTTTTGTTGAAGTGATCGTGAGAGTGGATAAAGTCTGAAAATTCAGTCTGGATACCAACCCTGAATCTTCAAAAAAAGGGGAAGGTGGTCCGGAAAATTCCTCAATAGATAAGAAAGGTTCAGGAAATATTAAGGAACATTTTATCCAATCAGCGTTCACTAGAAGTTTTGCTAGAAACATCACGAAATTGAAAAGTCACGTGTAGAGTTTCTGATTGCCTGATTACTACACCGCTGCTATGTTTAGTAGCACTCCAAAATATTCAGGAAAACCCAAGGGCTTCTAAAATACAGTAAAAAATATTTTCTGTACATAAATGAACCTTTGGAGTAAAGTGCTTCTCTCATATTTTTCGCCTTTTCTCTGTGTAGTTAGTTTTAGCTTGAGGATTACGAGAATAGCGTAGGAACCTAGTATAGCGTTCAATTAGCAAGACTTATCACTTTTCCCTTCAGGATTCGAAGTTAGTGCTTGCCACATGATGCAGTCTGATGATTTCCGCTATGTATGTCCTATCCATCTCAAGAGTCTTTTCCTAATTTGCTCTTCAACTAAAAATTGGTTTGTTCTCTCACACAATAGGCTGTTGCTGATGGTATCCGGCCAACCGACATTGAGTATCTTGCATAGACAATTGTTTATAAGTACTTGTACTTTTCTGATGGTAGTTGTAGTAGTTCATCAAGTTTCACCTGCATACAGTAGAATTGTCTTGACATTCGTATTGAAGATTCTGAATTTAGTGTTGGCTGAAAGTTGTTTAGAGTCCCAGAAGTTTTTCAATTGTAGGAATTCTGCCCATGTTTTGCCAATTTTCACCTTTTCATCTACAACAGATCCTCTTTGTTTATAGATGATGTTGCTTAGGTACGTGAAAGTTTTCACTTCTTCCAGAGTCTCTCTGTCAAGTGTAATCGGGTTGGCATTCTCTGTGTTGTATTTGAGGATCCTGCTTTTTCCTTTGTGCATGTTGAGGCCTACTGATGCTTTTTATTTATTTTATTTATTTAAACACATATATATTGGTACAAAAGGGCATCAGATACATATGCACCACACAAAATAATGAAAGTAGGAAGAGAAGGGATGAAAAGATAAGGCGGACTGAAATGTACAACCAGAAGACTCTTTCAGTTAAGAAAGTTAGAACCACTCTTTATGAAGAAAGTAAAAGAAGGTTGCAGCAGGATCGCCACTGGCTTCTATTCTTAGACATATCTGATAACGTCTCTAGCCACTGTGTTGCACCATCTCTCGGACCCCGGCCAGGGAGTCGTGAAGGACCAACAGAAGCTAGCCCTTTGCAGCTTTCTTTCATGCCACGACACCATGTCATACACTGACCTCCTCTCGGCTTTTTCCAACCAGTCCCAGGGTCGGCAAATAATGCACGACGTGGAAGTCTCTGGGACGACATTCGTAAAACATGTCCAAGCCACCGAAGTCGGTGTTTCAAGATGGTGACACCAATTGAATTATCGTCTCTGCGCCCGAACACACGATGCCGAACCTCTGCATTACTAACATGGTGTTGCCACTGGATGTCAGCAATCCTTCGGAGACAACGATGATCAAACACAGAGAGACGTCTAACATTCTCAACTAGGAGAGGCCAGGTTTCACAAGCATAGAGCAAAACTGCTCTGACCGACGCGTTGTAGATGCGACCTTTTACAGCCAGACTAACATCACGAAGGCGCCAAAGATGGCCCAGATTGGCATAAGCCGTTCTGGCTTTCATTATACGTGCATCAATCTCATCACTCACGCCGCCACCAGCACTTATATAGCTACCTAGATACACGAACTTCCCAACTACTTCGATCTCCTCACCATCCAGGGTGAGTACAGGATGAGAATCCTGCCAGTCTTGTAGGAGTACCTTGCACTTGGAGGGTGCAAAGCACATGCCGTACCTGCGGACATTGATTGCCAACTGATTAAGTGCGGATTGCATGGCTTGAGCATTATCGCACAGTAAGACAATATCATCCGCATACTCAAGGTCGAGAAGTCTTTCTCCAGGCAACATATCCACACCGCCATTACTTACATCCATCAGAGCTGTTTCCAGGATGTCGTCGATGGCAAAGTTGAAGAGGAATGGTGAGATTGGGCAACCCTGCCTAACCCCACTGCTTGAATGGAACAAGGGAGAAAGGTGGTTGTATGCCCTCACTCTGCCTAAGGTGTTCGTATACAGGGCCTTTAAGATGTTAATGAACTTCTCAGGCACACCCTTCTTCAATAGACAATCCCAGAGAACAGTCCTGTCCAACGAATCGAAGGCCGCCCTGATATCAAGAAACACTACGGTTGTTGGCCTGCGATAAGTATGACGGTGTTCTAACATTTGGCGGAGGGTGAATATGTGATCAATGCATCCTCGACCAGAACGAAAACCAGCCTGCTCCTTGCGAGTCAATCGTTCTCGGGTTTTAAAAAACTTACGAAGAATGATAGAAGCCAATAGTTTGGACGCAATCGGAAGTAGACTTATCCCCCGATAGTTATTGCAGGAACAACGTGAACCCTTTTTAAAGATAGGGACGACTATTGACTCATTCCATGATGTTGGAACACTTTCTTGTTCCCAAACCTTTCCAAACAACACCGTCAGTTCCTTAGCCAGAAAGTCACCACCATCTTTAAAAAGAGATGGAGGTAAGTCATCTGGGCTGGGTGATTTGTAGTGCTTCAGGAGTTAGAGTTCCTTGCGGACTTCCGCCTCGTTTGGTGGATCAGTCGTCACCGGCCATGGGGGGCAGGACAAGCTGGTTGATGTTGCCGGAGCAGCAGGCTACTTGAACTGCCCATCGTCCAAGACGTCGAGAGGTGTTAGTGATTGGCATCCCATCATCCTCGTAGATTGTTTCACTTACGCCAGACTTCTTGCTGCCAGTGGCTCGGATGAGTTGGAAGAGCTTCCGGCGGTTACCAGATGCAGCTGCTTCTTCCATCTGATTAGCACGCTCCGACCACCAGGCTTCTCGGTCCTTACGCAAGCTTTTCCCGATTTCATTACGTAACAGCCTTCGTTTGTGGTCAAACTCACGGTCACCCGGAGTAGACCGACGGGCTTCCATCAGTTGCAAGGAGCCAGAAGAAACCCAGTGCTTGTAAGCGGGACGTTTCGCGAAGCCGCAAGCGGCTTTACTCGCCATTTTCATGGCGTCGTGAAGAAGCAAGCAATGCTCATCTATACTTTTCGGTGGGGTGGTAGCTAGCCTAGAAGCTAGCTCCGCTCGATACTTACTTGCAACAGAAGTTGCAGCCAGTTTACTAATATCAATCCGTTGGTGGTGGTCAATCCTTCTGCCACTGAAAAGTAAGGTGAGATTGGCTCAGACCAGGGCATGATCGGACTCCAGATAGGTACTCCAAAAGGAGCGGCAGTCTTGTACACAACCACGCCAGCGGTAGCTGATCGCGATGTGATCAATCTGAGTCCAGGCTTGGGATGCAGAGGGAGGACGCCAGGTGGCACACCGGCGATGACTGTGCCGGAAGTTAGTGCTAGCCAGAAACAGGTTGTGGTCTGTGCACAGTTGCAGCAAACGGTCCCCGTTATCTGTTCTGCGACCAACAAGTCCTCATCGGCCACCTAAACGACTCTCTTCTGTGCCTAGACGTCCGACCTGTGCATTCAAGTCTCCGGCTAGTACTACAATATCTGTCGAACGCGCTTTCTGGAGAAGAACTGTTAACTGGTGGTAAAACTCATCCTTGATTACATCCGGGCTGCAATCTGTCGGGGCATAGGCGGAGATGACGAGAAGACACCGTTTCTCACGCAGATTTCTTCTCACTTTGATGGAACTTTCTAATCTAACAGCACATAACCGACTGTTAATGGGGATCCGATCGATTAGTGCTGCCTCAGCTCTAGCGCTTAGTGCGACACAAACGCCAGCAAGACCAGACGAAGATGCCACAGGGTCCCCGGATAAGCGCACGTGAAACAAGCTTTTCGATGCGACAGATGGAGAGCGAATTTGTAGTACTTCACTAGAGTCTTGAATACGGGTCTCGGATAGACAGCAAACATCAACATTAAGACTTTCTAAAGACATAGCCAGCCCTATCTGTTGTCTGATATGCATTGGTGTGCGAACGTTGAAGGAAGCCAGCTTGAACGGCGTACGTGGTTTCAGAAAGACTGCTTCAGTATTCATAATCGGTGGAAGCATTCACTTTCAACTAGACAGTGACTGGAGATCGTTTAGATAGGACAGAGTTTCGTGCTGAGATTTCGTCAGACACCAACCCATTAGGGTTGATCAGACTTCCAAGATAAGTGAAGTTGTCAACGCATTCGACTACTTCACTCTCTATCCTTTGTTCAGGTGTTGGAGTAACAATTTACATTTAGAGGGGGAGAAAGACATCCTGAAAATTCTGACATTGTTTTTCAGTGCTATCAAAAGACTCTGTATTTTATCAGCATCTTCGCCAAACACGACTATATCATCTGTGTATTGTAAGTCGATAAGTGGACCTCCTGGTAGAAGATTGATTCCTGAAAATTCAGTCGACGAGAGAGTTATTTTCAGCAGTAGATCTATTTTGAAGTTGAACAAAAATGGAGACAGTGGACAGCCTTGTAGGACACCACTTGAGGTTGTAAGATCAGATGGCAGTTTGCCATAAGCTCTGACTGGACTGGTAGTGTTCGAGTAAAGAGCTTTCACAAGGTTTATGTACTTCCGAGGTACACCTTTCAATGACAGACTGTCAAAGAACCTCTTGGTCTACAGAGTCAAGTTCTGCTTTGAAATCAAGAAGAACTATCATTGTCTGACGCCGATAAGCATGCCTGTGTTCTAAAACCCGACGAATAGTGAATATGTAATCGATACAGCCACGGCCAGGTCTGAAACCAACCTGATTTCTTCGTGTTTGCAGTTCACGAGTCTTAGTTAGGCGCCCGATAATTATTGAGGCTAGTATTTTAGATGCTATATTAGTCAAACTAATCTCTATATGAATAAATAATATATTTGTAATATCCCAATGAGTAGAAAAATTAGATTTTCTGATTTGGTTATTTATTCTTTGAAGAAGTGGCCTACGTTGAGTCACGAAACGTCAGAAAATCTAATTTTCCTACTTATTGGGATATTACAAATATATTATTTATTGATAACGAACTACCCGATTCTCAATTTATTCGAAATTATCAAGTCAAACCTTGGTAATGATACCTATAATCCCTCTATGGTTATGACAGGATGATTTCGACCCCTTCTTATATATTGGGACGGTCAGTGATTGTGACCAGTCAGATGGGATTACGTCCAACCCCCAGAGTTTAGCTAAAATATTAGTCAACCTAGTCGCTAAAATTGGACCACCGCACTTCACGACCTTTGGATCCAAATTATCTGAACCAGCTGCTCTTCCTTGTTTCAGATTAGCTATAGCTTTTTGAACTTCAGCTAGAGTCGGGGGATCTACTTCAATGTTCCATTCAGGCTGTCTGGGAATGGTGGGTAGTTGTAGAGTAGCTGAACTGCTCTTTAAAGCGTTCCGCCCATTGTTTTAAATGTTTGGGCTGAGACGAGTGTCATCTTTTTTCGAGATCGTCTCACTTACACTTGACTTCGTAATTCCAGTTTCTTTTGTTAGTTTGAAAAGCTGTCTTTCGTTGCCTACAGTCGCTGTCTTTTCCATTTCTTTCGCTTTCGTTGCTCACCACTGCTCACGGTCGTTCCTTAGACTTTTAGTTAACCTAGATCTAATTTGTTTACGCTCTTCATCGTGTTCAGAGCCTGATGGAATGAGTTTACGCGAATCCATCAGTGAAATAGACTTAGAAGAAATCCACTGGTTTTTTGTAACCCTATGGTTTAAATAACTAATAGATGTGTCTGCTGTTTCCACAGCTGTTCGCATATCTTTCCAAGCAACATCAGGTTCAGACTCGTTTTCAGAACTATCTGAGTGTGAAATCAGTTGTAACTGAAATCTACTTTTGGCTTCCTCGTCACTGAGCTCAATTCCGATGGTCTGCTTAATGTGCGTTTATGTGTCCATTGAGATGGAATCAAAATGCATGCTTGTATTAGAGCATGATCGGAGTCTAAACAGGTATTCCAGAACGAGCGATAGTCTTCTATCAAGACTCTCCAACGATTACTGATGGCGATATGGTCTGTGTGAGTCAATCGTTGGTTTGGTGCAGGTGGTCCCTCCATGTTAGACGATGTCTTTCCTAATACTTAAAGTTAGTGTTTTCTAAAAATAAACTATTGTCTGAGCACAGTTGCAACAGACGATCACCATTATCTGTTTGCTGACTCGGAATACTAAAATATTCACCTAAATGTCTTTCTGTTTGGTTTAAGCTACCTACTAGGATATTAGTCACCTGCTACGTGTAATATGTATGAACGTTTAGCTTTTTGAAGAAGTTCAGAGGGCTTTCTTTAAAAGTCATCTATCACTTCATCTGGGCTCCAGTCAATGGGAGCGTAGGCAGAAACGACGAAAAAGCAACGACGTGTTCTTATCCTTCCAAGTTCTTACGGAGTCATTCAGTCGAACAGCACATAGACGACTGTTAACGTGGATTCATCCTAATAGTGTTTGTTCTGCTCTCGTACTTAATGCTATGCCTACACCTGTCAGTCCTCGAGAACTATCCATCGGGGCGCCAGATACACGGGGAGTGTATCTCGTCGGCCCTCCGTTTTGGCGAAGTGAGGTCAAGTGAATGATCACATTAGGATCCCGTATGTATGTTTCGGAGACACAGCATAAATCAGTGGTACGAGATTCTAGGGTTTTAACCAAGGAAGCCTGTTGGCCGATTTGACATGTGGTGCGTAAGTTGAAGGCTCCAATGTGTAGTTTGGAGCGAGGTTTCAGTAGACCTGTGACAGTGTTTTGCGCACTAGGATCGTTGGCTATAGTGACACTTGAGGAGGAAGCCAAAAGAGGAATCTTAGTGTTGAAAGTCGATTTAGGAAGAATGGTAGGAATTGAAGAAGGAGATTGATTATGGATACAGTGATCTTGAATGCTGTTCGAGGTATGAGAGCGGTTATCACATTATAAGAAAATTAACTAACTATTGGAATGTTCTTTTTCTACATTTTTATTCATTTATAATTTAAAATTTAGTTAAAAAGTTTTAGTATTTGCTTCGTATTCTATCTTACTTTCTTCAATTTCAGCTCAATATCAACTTGCTCCTGATGTTGTACAAAATGAACTTGTTGAACGTTTATCAGCCTGGTGTCCTGGAATGTCTGGAGCCGATATTGCACGTCTATGTAATGAAGCTGCTTTGTCTGCTGCTCGAAGAGATGAAGTTGTTGGTGTTACTAAAGCTGATTTTGAAGCAGCATTTGAAAGAATTTCAGCAGGTTGTTTTTTTTGCCGGTAGATATTCAATGTAGTTAGTTATTAAAACTTTTCTTTCTGCGGAATTCCTGACGGTCTCTTTTTCGTACTTTGTATAAAAAATGTCAAAATTCCTGCTAATAAGTTGGCTACTTTTGTTTTTACATTTTTGGGTAATCAGTTTACCTTTTGGTGTTTATCATCGATATATTACTATACTGTTTCCAATTTGTCACTGTAGATATTAATAGCATTATTCTTTAATAGAAATTAGTTTATTCGGTCTAAAGAATATTATGTATAAAACAATTTTGTCATGGATAATTACTTTATTCTCATTGTTTAGGCGCTGCAAAACGTTCAAATCCACTTACGGCTGCTGAACGCCACATGTCTGCTGTTCATGAATCTGGGAGGGCTCTTGTAGCATGGCTTCTTTCAAATAGTGGAATACTACCGGTAAAAATCTCAATTATACCGCGTACGGTTTCTGGTCCAGATACTGTTGGAGATCTGGGTTTTACTCAGTTAATAATAGAAGAAAAATATTTACTTAATGCTGATGATCTAGCTGATCGTATGTCTGTATTACTGGGTGGTAGAGCAGCTGAGCATGTTGTATACAATGCAATTTCAGATGGTTAGTTCATTTTGTGTGTTTCTCATTAGGATACATTTTTTTCAATGTATATCTGTCCATTGTCTGAATATCAGTGTAACTTTATCACGCACTTTTTACTGTATGTATATGTACTATTACTAGTTAAATTCATATATCATAATGTTTATTGTTAAATTAACAATCCAATAATAGAATACTTTATTTGATCATGTTATGTAGATGTTCAGTAATTTTCAAGATGAAATTTCTAGTCGTCAAAGTCAATGAATAAAATGCTAATCGATAAGTAAATGGGATGATATAATTTGGCCAAGTGATGGCTACTCACGAGACCGTATGATTGATTTGAGTCCCTGAATGGTTAGAAATCCAAGAGAGAACTACTAAACAAATGAATTTTTTAAGTAATAAAATAACATGCTTATAAACAAAATACTGACGCAAAATAAACATGATAGGATGTCTTGAATAATTAGAAGAAATTTACTTGTAGTCCCTCCGATTAATTAAGACATAACTGTTAGGCTTAGTCTTTAAGCATCATATCAAATAATTTAGTTACCAAGCCCGAATTTATACACTTGACGTGTAAACTATTAGTTTTATGTGATGACTAGTAATAATGTATAACAACAAAATTTAATGTAGGTCGAGCCAGATACGAACTTTGAACCTGATGATTGGAAGTCGATTGCTTTAATACCTAATAACGTTACCGATCTACATTCTGTTTAACCACCATGAACAATGTTATAGATGTTCTAGTGATGTCGACTGAGTTGGTACGTTTTCGCTTCACATTTATTGGGATTCGAAAATCTGATTGAAATAGAATACAATTCAAATATATTTTTATAAATATACACGAAGAAATTAAAAAAACGCTCCCAAGTTCCTCAAGCTTAGATCAACTGCCGAGTAGGCAAGATACGCATCTAAAAACTAAGAAACGAGTAAACTTCTCCATAGTTTGCCGCTTACTAGTATTTGGTTATATGTGTCTTCAAATCATCACTGGTGTATGTCACGGCCACTCAATGACTAATGTTGAGATCGGACCGGTACTATACAAAAATAGCGAATCTATTGATGATGTTGTGGATCTTCATCGACGGACGTGGTTGAGATGTGTATTATGTAGACTCAACCGCATCCTATTTCGATGAACGATATTGGCTGGTTTCACAGACTGTTGGACTAAAGTGCGTTAGTAGGTATAGACTATCTGGTCGGGGTCCTCAAATTTATCATGATCAATAGACGTAGACTTTGGATGACACGACATAGAATCGATTACAGATGGTTTCACTCTTTCTCTATACCTAGGTCCAGAGTTTCAAGATTATATTATACTTTTCTATCCCATCAATTCACTCATATAATCTATATCTTATCTTTTCTACTAATACGTACTACTACCACTACTCTGGAACTTGTCCTGATAATTTCATCTTATTGTGCTGATATGGTATGGAATCTGGAGCCAATACACATTTATGCCAGGTTCTGTGTTGCTTATGATTGTCGGAAAATATTTTATTCTGTATTTTGATCTTTGAATGAATTGTCAATAAATAATCGAGGGTATATTTAAGAAAAACAGAAACTATGAATATGGGATTTTAAGGTCGTAAGACATAGTCACCATACAAATCTCTTTTCAAATGAATTCAATCATCCACATTTTATCTCAATTGGTTGTAGAAGATGGATGTGTGAAGACCTCATTTATAGAGATAACCGACAGGAAAGGCTACTTGGTACCGAAGAGTGATTTTATCCGTTTTCATGCCCTAAGTTTGTTTTCGAATTTTCCCTCACATCTGTATGTATTATGAAATGTCATTCTCATATTCCATTCAATTAATATTTAGTTTCCGAAAAACATCTTCGGGAAGCTAATAAATTAGCAAAGAAGCAAGTACGTCAGTTCGGAATGTCTAAGTCTATTGGAAATCTCAGCTTTGACGTGAGTGTATTAACTTTGATAAAACACTTTTTCTATTTGGTTTTTAACGTACAAACTTTACTCTAGTTTGTACTAAGATATCTATTCATCATTTACAAATAACATCAACCATGTCAATCAGTTTGTCACTAATTGAGCGCCGACTTCAAGATATAAAGTGTAAGCATCTCAATGTTTGATATACTGTTTATTCTCTCTTCGACATCAGTGAATCGTTTGTACTTGTACCTACATGTGTATTAAAAAAACAACTGGTTGTCACAGCTATGACTTTTAAGAAGTGTCTCATCCCTAACAGATCACAGACACAAAAGTTGAAGTTCTAACGACTCCACGTAATTCTTTGAATACTTTCCAACTCCATTAAACACTCAATGACTTGCTCATTTATCTATCCCTCTCACCATGTTCACGTAAAACGTACATTGAATTCTGTGTTTATTTCTCTCCCAAGTCTCTAGTTTTAAGAGATTTTTGGTTATATTTGTCGTTTAGATTTAGTAATTATTTGTTTCGTCAAAGCTTTCATCCAGTAGAAAAACTTGGTCGATCTACTATAATAGCTCGCCTAAAGTTAAAGCTTGGCTCCTTAAAATTTCACAGCTTAGTGCGGATCTAACAACAGATTGAATTGGAAAACACTAATAAATCCTATGTTACATAAAAAAACATGTTGAAATTCCCAGTGGCTTAATGGTAGTAGATTTTCCACTTATCTGTTTAGAAATAGTTTTTTGGGTTTATCTAAAATACCTGTTGTACTAACCTATGACCTCACTACTGTCAACGTTGCACTAAATCTGTCCGTGTGCTGTTCATATACGTAATGTCAGGTTAGGATACTCAGATGTAGTTAAAAAAGGAAAAAGTTTCATGATATCATTCTAACCGTATGCGCCGATGGGTTACAGCTTCTATGCAACGGTGTACAAGTTTTATAATTAATTAATTAGTTTCAAGCATTTCCAGATACTGTAAATCGTCTTAGAATATGATGATTAGAAGTATTCGAACTAATGTACTAACTAGAAATTCCAAAAATAGTGTCATTTAAAGCTGTTGGAACTATATGAGCACAAATGAACATATTATATTTGTTATTCGTAATCAGAGGTTAATCAAGTACAAAGAAATCGTAAGTTCGTACAAGTACCACATCCTCCACAGCTTGAGTGGGAATCTAAATTTGTGTAATCGATTGTACTTCTCCTTAGGTTCATCGTGTGTTTGTCAGACTGTGCATTGGATGTAGACTCTGTATAATCTTGAATGTACTCATTAGTATTATAATCAAAAACGCAAGTTAGAACATACTAAGCCGGCTCCTGGAATTATATCTGATCAACTTAGATCATCGATATCTAGAATTTGACTCGTAGATTTCCCAACACTCCAGAATTCCCTTGGCTGGTCGAATATCATTTCCATGATAACACATAAATTCTGCAGACCATAAACACCTCATATTTGGACGGAGGATTCTTCCTTTTAATAGCTTTGCTGGAGTCCATTTTGTCACAGAATGTTTGGCATTTCTATATTACAGTAGAAATGTGTTTGCTTCCCTCTCAAGTTCATTAAATGTTGAATCAGCAATAGAATCAATGGCGGTTTTCAGTATCCTGACGAGATTTTCTGCCTGACCATTAGAAAAAGGGTGCCTGGGAGCAGTGGAAAGATCTCTGCACCCTATACTATTCAACCAGGTAGTGACTGTATCCGAAGCAAAATGAGAGCCATTACCAGTCAATAATACCATAGGGACCCACTTCCGATTAAATACTTTTCTTGATGCTTGGATTGTGAAGTCAGAATTTGGTGAAGTTGTGAAAAAAATTCAGGTCACTTAGAAAAAGAATCAATAACAACAAATAAATAGTATTTGCCAAGAAACCGACCACAATAGTCTGCATGAATTCTCTGCCTGGACTCAAACAATGCTGGTCATGGAGTCCACTTCGAAGACTGACTTTCCAACACCTAAATGTCCACTATGAAGATCTTCAAGGACGGATTTACGTAATGAAGTAGGAATAACTACAAGATTATTTAAACGCAAAATACCATCAGGAGTAGTAGATAACTCATCCCGCTTTGAAAACTATACAGGAAACCTATGTTTCATATTAGCATTTCAACCTTTCCGTATAGCACTGTGTATACATCCAAAGAATCTACGAGTTTCTCCAACGAGATCTGGACGCCTCACCGTTAAAAGTGGCACTAGCAAACAGTCTAAAGTATTAACAGGTTTATCTTCTAATGATTGCCGAGAAATGTAGTCATTGTGTTGAAATTGCTTAGCACTTATTTGCTGAATCATACAGTCGTAGGCATTCAAGGCAATACTCCATCGTTGAACCATGGCAGCTGAAGAACGTGCTAAGGATTTTTCAGGATGATGAATGAACTTTAAAGATTCATGATCAGTAACAATGGTGAATTTCTTTCTTTAACAGCCCAAAACACAGCAAATGCTTCTCGCTGAGTTTGTGAATAATCTTGTTCAGTAATAGTAAGTTCGCGTGAAACACAGATAACTGGCCTACCTTCCTGTTCCAAAACTGCACCGATACCCACGGGTGATGCGTCACTAATACGTACAGAATGTAAACTGGGTGAGTAAGTTTGAAGAACAGCATCACTGTGAGGAAACTTTAGCAGACTTAGTAAGCATGACTCTTGTTCCTCACCCCATTTGAATGAACTTGATGTCAAAATATTAAATAAACAGTTGGTATGACAATAGAAATCAGGAATAAAAATGGAATAGTACTGAAGAGCACCCGCTAGTGAACGTACTTCTGTAGGATTTCTCGGAGACTGCATTTGTCAATAGAGCTAGTCGTTTCATATCTGGTCTAAAACCATTACCATCAACTAGGTATCCAAGACATTCGAAACTGGATACACAAAATGAACACTTATTTGGATTCACTGTAATATTCTTCTCAACTAAACGATGTAATAAGGTAATAAGTCTCTGGTCATGAACTACCTTATCAGTACCATGAACGATGAGATCATCTTGATAGACTTCAACACCTTCACGATCACTGACTACCTTATTCATAACTTCCTGAAATATGAATATTGATCTAAGGGAATTTGAATATAAAAAACTTTTATATCAACTTTCGAAAACACTTTAGAACCATGAAGTCGATTTAGAATATCTTCAGCCTTTACCGTCGCCCATGTTTGCTTCAAAAAACGGGAGTGCAGTGTTAATCTATAGTCACCACAAATTGTATGGATCTTGCCATCCGACTTCAAGGGCGTAATAATAGGAGCACCCCATGCTGACGACTGAATCGGTTCAATTATACCTTTCTCACACAAATCGTTCAATGACTTATGTGCTACTGGATCACCCTGTACTTGATGTTTTATAGGCTGAATTCTCATCTCACCGCTGCACTTAGCACATACAGCTATTAAATCCCTAAGTAAAGCATCAGAATCTCCTTTTGAAACTTATAAAGACAAGTCCGTTCTAAGCCTTCTCAAATTTTTTAAACCCAGTAATGACGGTCCTGTTTCACTAACTAAAAACTCGCAAGGTATGTATAAAGAAGTATCGTATTTAATTAGTAATTCATACATCCTCGTATGGGCAGTTTTGTATCCAGTAATTCCCAATACTGAGACTTCAATGGGTCGTACTACCACGTCAGAATCTAGAAATTTCAAATTCTTGAATGAAATATTGGACTTAATACTGCCTGTGTCAACACTGAAGTCATAAAATAAACGAAGTGCGGTATATAATCTCTTCTAAATACGAACATTACCTTTCAAAATTGTGGATAAAGTTAAATGATCATTAAAAACATTCAACTTTAGGGTTTTTCATCGCTAGTGGCAAAGTGAACAGTAGCTTTACAGGCCGACATAATGTGTCCCATTTTACCACACATAAAGCATTTGACATGACGAAAAACACATAGATTTCGTAAGTGAAATTTACCACAGGATAAACATTTACCAAACCTGTGCTCATCTCTGAAATCTGCTTTGTAATACATTGTTAAATCACTTTTCATATTTTCACAAGAATGGGAACCATTATTAAGCAAATGAGAGCTTGAGTGATGATAGATTGTAGTTCATCACGACGACTAAGTAAAGTATTAGAAATTTCCGCTGACTGCTAGTCAAGCCCATTCACTGTCTCACAGGTAAAACATGCTATTTAGATTTCTTGGATTGAACTTTTGCGCGAAATTGCACTTCGCGGCCTGTTTTTATAGTTCAAGTATGAGTCTCTAACTTTCTGATCATTTTACAAAACTCCGATCTTTCTCTACATTTTTAGCTAGTACACTGCACATGACTTAGTAGTAATTCTTTGAGAGATTCATACGACAATGAAGTTGGTTTTTGTGGAGAAGTCAGATTCTTCAACAGGTTATAATCTTTGCCCATGAACGTCAGAAATAAACTGTTAAATTATCATCTTTAATACGTTTTCTAGTCATGCACCAGATGTCAAAGCGCTATATCTAGTCCTCAAAGTCATCCTCACTTAAATTAATATCCAACTGTCCAAAATTTGACTTGTCTGAAACAATAGACCAATGTTAGGTTGACTTCGGTCAATTAAATTTCGTGTTCCTGCACATTTATTATGTAAGAATGCTCAGTAATCATTTTTATTTACATTTTAGGAAGAGTCATCCAGTGGACCGTTCTCTGTGAAGCCGTTCTGTCAAAAAACGGAAGCCATCATGGAAATAGAAGCCAATCAACTTGTAACTTCAGCATTTTCACGTTCTGTAAAAATGTTGGAGGATAATAAGGACAACCTGTTAGCACTTATTGATGCTCTTGTAAAAAATGAAGATCTCAGTTACGATGACCTGAAGAAACTTTTAGGTGATAACCAACGTCCAACAAAAATTAGACCTCGACTATAATGTACTTTTGTTGTAATTCCTTCCATTTTTTGTGTATATAAAGATTGTATTAACCCTATTCCTATGTAACTGTCATTTATTGATTCGGATAGTTGGTTGTAAATAGTGGTTCTCCAACTTCACAACATCTACTGAGGTAGTTCTTAAAAAGATATTCCAATCTTTTCACATTACTTAATCAGTAGTTAAGGCGCTTGACTTTCAGCTAGTACGTCGCAGGCCTGAATCCCATTCTACCAACTTCGGTTTGGTCAACTGCGTAACGTCATTAATCCTTACACTAGAGGTGTGGCTCGAGACCGAGTAAGCCAGCATGTACTCAGTAAATAATTTGTATGGATGACTAGCGAACTGTTTTTGATGATATGCTTTAGTTTAGTGTCGAAAGTTTTGGCAATACAAGTTGGTGTTCAAGACCGCACATATACTTAGCCAACAGCTTTATGTTTATGAGGTGATAGGAAAACGGAGCACATTTGAAGTCAGGTGTTATATGTGGTTTTTGTTTTGGAAATTTAGGATTGCAAGCAGGGATATTACTGCATATTTGTTCAATAAGTCGATTTGTGGGTTCTCCAAATGTTTTATTACCCGACTTTTAGTAATTCTTTTTACATTTAACGCGAGACTATCCAACGTTCATTATTCGAGCTCCGGTGTTGATATATAGCATTTGATAAGTTTGAAAGGTCATAATGATTTTTTGAAGATTTACTTCAATACTGATGATAACCATAAAACTTGTGATGGTTTCTACGTGAAGTTCACGATTGATCTTCATGAAACTGAGATGTAGTATATGTATAGGAGCCAAACTTAGTACTTAGCTTAATCATCGGTATCTAATCAATGAAGTAAATCGACGCCTACTACTGCATAATATAAGAAAATTTGATTTTCCGCTAACAGTGATATTGGGAGAAACTAAGATTTATCGATTAATAAACATAATAGACTGATCGACTTACAATCCATGAATCTATTAGTAACAACAAAACCTGGTTACATCTATACCACGCTACCTTCAGAATCTGCATCACCAAAACCAAGTTACAGAAACTACAATAAGGCATTCCATTACGCATCATATTGTAACGCATAGTTCACCAGTTGCTGTAATGTCACGTCGACTGCATCCTAAAAGACTACGAATAGCAAAAGGTGGATTTGGTAAATTGCTGAAACTGGGCCATTTCGCAGTCCGAGTCTTTTTCGTTGGATATGATTCCTTGGAAGGATGGAGAAATTCGACTATCGCGCACTAACGGTCGAACGTTTGCGGACCAAAATCTTGGGCAGCAAACTACAAATTTTCAAAATTAATGCCACAAAAGCAATTCGCTTTATTGAACAGATAGTTCAGGATTCGCCCTTTTATGTATATACTATTTGCTCGTGAACAGAGCAACAGCTCATGTTCATCTACATCTTCATACCACGATCATTAAGAACCATTTCAACAAGCGACGTGGCCATTCACATCTCGGTATTCGCGCAATTTACGTTCGTAAGTGGTAACTACATATGACGTTCCACAGTGAGCGTAGACTCCTTCGAAGTGTCAAAAATGAAATCATACAGTTGCTACTACAGGAAAGTTCTTGGAAACAGGTAATGTATTTGAGCACATGAACAATAGTCGTCATTAGCGGTACTCCTAAAAGATACATCACTCAAAATATTTGCGGAAACTATGATGTACCATCTTTGGAGTAGTGTCTTTTTTAACTACTGTGAGTAGAAGTGGACAAAGCAAAATCCACTTTTTTTAGGAGCTGAAGGATGTATTTATTTTCGTTTCGTTTGACAGAATCTTACCGTTGATGTTTAGATCTTTAATTGAACAGTCTCTTATTGGCATATCAGCATCCTGTGCAAATTGCCTCGATGTTACCTTAGGTCACAAGCATTATAAGCAAGTATGGGTGGTAGCTAGTGGTGGGATCCAGGATTCGTCAGTTGGATGTACCTGGATCTTAGAGTCGATATTCAATCCAGGACTGGAATTCATTACCGTTTGCTCCAAACGGCATCGTTTCATCCACTTAGTTACCAAGTCCAGATAGTCACTAGCTTGTGTTAAGTAAATAATTTGAAGCGAACTGTACTGGGTTAGAGTCCGGGAGTGAACAATAAATCTGGCATGCAGGTACATTCAGTTGATGAGTCCGAAATAGGAAGAAATGCGCGTCCTGGATTCCACTGCTAGACACCATCCATCTTTACTCATAGCTAATGGATGTCTTAGGGCGTTATCAAAGTACCAATATGAATTGAAAGAAGTTGACTCTCAAATTCTGTCGGCTAGTATTCTAAAGTTAGCCGGTCAGTAGAATTTTGCATAAACGCATTGCTTCAGGTTTTCACTTCTATAACAGTAAATCTTGTATAAATTTGACAGGACAGGATTACAACTGGATAAGTAAAATAAATGGATTTATAGTGAATTTGGGATAGTTGTAAAAGAGTATATGATTGATTGTCAGGATTTCAAGGTTTACTATTGGTTATTATCCCTATTTTCGAAAACCAAATTTAGTGCTCGTGTGATGTATTCTACTTATATCGATATAAGTAGTATATAACACTAGTCAGAAGAGGGAGGCCTGGCAGCAGGTTGTAAAGATCGAATCGAAGAGAACAGGGACTGAGAGCAGTAAATGAACGATGAAGTTTGAGTCAGTTGATGGAATATTGGTAGATGAAGTATTTTATGTATGTAGGTATCATTACCAAGTTTTGATTTGATAATTTTGAATAAATTGAGCATTGGGTAGATTGTTATAAATAAATAATATATTTGTAATATCCCAATTTTTCTACTCATTGGGATATTACAAATATATTATTTATTTATATTTTATGTACGGTTCTTACATTTTACTAAGATACTCTGTAATTTTGTAATAAAATACAAATGGTTGTCCACCAACTGTTTCCGTCTATTACACTCATACTATACACAATAAAAATATTTAAATACCAACTTGATATTTTGTGTTTATTCTTGTGAAATAAAACTGGTTTACATTTCATGGTAATTTTATTGTGTACATGTGAAAGTATGGGTGATTCAAGTGTGCCTAATTTAAATATTATAATGACTTTCTTTTCTTTTCTGGTGGCTCAACATCTGAAGTTAGATCATATTCTGATAAATATTTTATGAAGGAATCCGATAACTGGAAATCTGAACTGTTTATTTGTTTTGTGGACTGTATTTCAGGAACGCTAATATCTTTCTCAATAATCGTCTTTAATTCAATGCGAAGATCATCAGATGACAGATGCGTTAGATGGTCTAAAGAAACTTGTCTCCCATCAATATGCAGCATGTACTGTTTTGTCGAAGTGGCTCCTATTCCCCCTACACAAACATCGTTTCCCCACTGCATAATTAAATTAGCTAGTTGATTTACCTACAAAAAAGTATTTTGAAAGACAAAAAACCAGAAAAATATGAATTAATACATGACATCTCATAAGTTTTAAGAATAACAAATTTCTCGAACAGCATTCAAAATGTTTAGACTTTCTTACAATCATTACTACTACGATGATCTTGACTCCTTTACTACTCATTACGTTGATTTCATTTTGTCGTATTGATGTAGGGCGGCAACTTGAGCTAAGGCACATTTCTATTAGAATCCACTTTGATTAAAATTGACTAACTGTTATGAAATGATAAGGAAATTCCAAAGATTATTCAAAGTTAACAAAGTAAAAAACTACAGGTCATAACCTGGTAGTTTAGCAGTTTTATATACATTGACCACTTTGTTGGTAGATGTCAATAGAACAAATGATGGTGGGAATGAAGCGTGGTATTAGTTCGTAAGAAAATCGACTAAGTAAACCTAACAGTTACGTATGAATTGGGGCTTTTAAATAACCCCGTAGTACAAAATACAATTAGTTAAGGTAGACTGGGTTTCCAAATCCACTCATTATTCATACGGAACATTTTGGAATTTCGGTGAAGTATGAATGAAAGACAGCTGCCCACTAGATCCGAAATCAGGGTCACTAGTTTAGATACTCGATCAGATGGATATGTGATCGAATACTATTTAACAAACCTAAGCATAACTCAGTGAGTTTGGTGTACACACATGATATATATGCTAAATAAACAACACTACCATTTTAGAGTGAAATTTACTGAACAATTTGACTCTATGGATTTAGTTTTATCTGTTCCAAAGGAAGCTATCGTGACACAAAGTCTACATTGTTTTTGAAAGCTCTAGAGGATTTAAAGTTTTATTTAGTCCTCATTTTAAAATAACTGAGACTGGCAATTTAGCTGTAGTAGACTTATTAATCAGTGAACTGTGAATTTATTAGGATAACAGCCAAATATGACTGAAAATACTGTTTAAACAAAACTTCTTACCACGGGATCGGAATGTTTTTTTAATAAAAGTAGGTCCCATAAACATGCACTGGCAGGAAAGCATAATTCTGGATCGTTTACATCTGATTTATAGTTACTGCAGATTTCTGGATCGCAGTCAAATAACATTTCACAACGCGGAAAAAGACGAAGAAGATGAAAAAGCTTGATAAGCAAGGAACTGGAGCAGTATGGATCTGACTGAAGTTGAAAAAAGGGTTTACTTTAATTAATACAATTATTACTTGAAGTTGTGCACTAATATCCACATGACACAATTTTTTTACAGCAAAATGTAAACTTTTTGAAAGAAGCTGCCAGAAAACGCTTTGATCAGATTCACGGAATTTCAACCAGTATTTTAACTACGAATAGGTCAGTGTTTTAGTAGTTATATCGTTTGAAATTCAGTTAGTGAAGTGTAGACTTGAGTTTCGGTTCTGTAGTTTCAAACTGAAAGCATGAACCTTTATGTGGTGTTTGTATTGCTTAATAACTCATCTGTACACTATTCCACGACTGATTTAAATTGCAAAATACAAAACCTTCGGGTGTGTACACTTTTTTCTCTGTGACTTACTGGTTCATAGGTGACTGCGAAAATACGAATTCAACAGTCCTGGCAATGACCAGTTAGCATATCCATTCGACTACTTCTAATTATCATACTTTACCTGATTACGAGTGAAACTAGAATATTACGTTCAGGTTTTACATTCACAGGAATATATTGTTACGTAATGCCGTTAAAATTCCTTTTAGTTTCCAAACATATTAATTTTTCAACTATTTATTGGACTGTACGTAGCTAAGGAGCGTACAATGAATTAAACACACACTACATTTGTCTTGCTTTACTTAGTAAATTACTGTTTTTGAATAGCGACTAATTTTTAGCAAGTCGGGATAGTATCAATTTACCCATTCTATTCATGGTATTTTTACTACTATTATCATTATTATTAATGGCTTCATTCAATATTATATGTTTGGTGCAACCTGGAATTCTTAGAACAAAGTATTTCAACAAGTTTTTTCTACAAGACAAAATAAACAATATAACTGCATACATATTTATATAAATAAAGTTGATAAGCTAACTGGGAATAAATGAAATGCTTTTTTAAGAAGATTAGAATTAGTACAACTTTTTAATTAGAAACATGTTTAAGAATATAAGTTGTCAACTAGAGATCAGCCCTAACAACCTGTTCGTAATATAGTATATTTGCTAGATAAGACATTGTAGAGCTTTTATATTCTTTCTCACGTGCATGGATTCTAATGTATTGACGCCTCATTTTATCAGAGAATATATGCGGAGGAAGATATGAATGAAGTGGATGGTGATATCTGACAAGACAACACCTGCCAGGAGTTTGCAAGATTTTAAATGTCTATCCACAACCGGATTAATAATAGCCTCAAAAGATTCACTACACACCCTACTAACAGTTGGGCTGATGATGGTATTTGGAATATTTTCTGAAAATCTATTCTTGTCGCTACTGTCAGAGATAGGATTTTAATGATCTTCAGGACGAAATTTTCGATTTTTAAAATTAACAAAAGGAATACTAATTGATGTTTGAAACTCAGTGATACGATGTAGCTGAATGACTGCTATTTACGATACCGTATTACTGACCCAAACATCTGAGTGATTTAAAACCAGAAATAAGACCACCAACTAGTGGAATATACCAATTATGTAGTAGAATAAAACTTATTAACATAAATAAATTATATCTTTGTAATATCCCGATGAGTAGAAAAATTAGATTTTCTGACGTTTCGTGACTCAGTGTAAGCCACTTCTTCAGAGAATAAATAACCAAATTAACATTAATCCAAGTTTAAATAGTACAACGGAACAATCAAAGAATATTAAGTGATCAATCAAAAACAGGTCTGAATAAATCAATGTCACGTCATTTCATTTCGGTCAATGTGATTCATAATCGACATGTATGTAATTTTTGTGTGTATGTATGCACTGTTAATAATGAAAACTGTGTGACCTTTATAATTACAAAGGATAGAGTTTGATTTGTAATGTAATGGTGTGAAATTGTAAATAATATCAACCTGAGTGACTAGGATAGATGGTCCAAGTAGGCTGTATGGTAAGGCCTTCCTTTCTATTGAGAGCTGTGGGATTAAGCATTATACGGAAAGCTTCAGCTACTCTTCTTTCTTTGTAGTTAGAAAAACCTTTCTGTAGTATTTTGATATTTTCGAAACCAATTTGATGACTGTTGAAAATGGCGTGAACTGCTATTGCCGATTTAATCTGAAGTCTA